CTCCACTTTCCCTCCCCTCCTCTCCCCCCCCTCCGCACACTGTCTTCTCCCATTCACTCCCCCTCCCTTTCCCCAACTTAAAAAGAAGAAGAATAACGACCATTCCACCCTTATAAAAAGAAAACTCCACTGGCTCCCAACAACTTAAAGAATTCCTGACAAGATTGCCATCCTTTGCCATGATGTGTGAACAATAATGACCCCTTTTTTTTTCAATTGCTCAACGTAAGACCCCGCCACACGACATTTTGACAAGTGACGTAGCTACCTTTGAATTACGAAGTTCTATCTGCTCATTCCCTAGTTTTGGAGAAATTTGACGTGAAAAAAAATTGAGCTTCACAACATGTCAAGCTTTTTCGAAAGCAATCTTTTGAATATCTTGGTAACGACTCCAAATAATCTTACGATTTTGATGGAGCAGGTGGAGCATTTGAATTCTGATCTCATGGTCTTGGTAACTCGAAACTGCCAAAAATGTCAGACAAAAATCTATAATTCTTATGTAGCGACATTTGATGGAGTCTACACTGGCAGTTGGTATAAACAACCTCATTCAAATGCATGTTCCACCAAGATCTCTGAGATCAGGAGTTCGGCACTTATATTATGATCTTATCGGTTTGAAGTGCTGCAAAACTCGTATTAAAACTAAGATCAGGAGAACAGTTTCTTGTGGAAACACCGAGGAGGGGAGGGCAGAAACTCACGTTTTTTTTTCTTTCCCCTACCTCTTCTAACTGGAACTCTCTCCCACAGTATTTGAGGGATACAAAGTCGGAGCAAAATTTAAAATGTATTGAGAAACATACCTATGAAAAACGATCTCAATAATTACTCGTAGTCCTCTTTAGTACTCTTATGTTCCTAATGTGATGTGCATATTGTCTTCGATTGTGCAGTGGCCTAGTTGTTAGGCTACCGGACCCGTAATCGTAAGATTGCGGGTTCGGGAATTCGAGCCCCAGCTCGGTCCGATGTCGCGTTCTTGGGAAAGGCACTTTACTCGAATTTCCCACTTGACTCGGTCGTTTGGGAGACGGACGTTATACTCGGAGGTCCAGCTTCTTAAATAACCTAATAGTGTTGATAGTTGCGTTAAACCTATAAGATTACCGTCGATTCTGCCGTTATAGTATGATTGTCACCTTATGTTAGCGTTAATCTAAAGAACGTATGTATGCATGTTTATTGACGAACGTGTTTTGAGTTGAGATGAAGATATTTCTAAGCGCCAAGAGTTACATCATATAGGAGTGGACGTTATAGAAATCAGTACTATAATTGTAAGCATCATCATTATTACAATGATTATGATTATTATGGTTATTATCATTATCATCATCATCTTCATCATCATCAATATTGTTATTATTATTATTATTATTAT